GATTATTTAAAAGAGAAAATATCAAAATTGAAACTTCTATGAAGACAATGCTTATTAATATTTTCGGATAATTCCTGTACGCATTAATTACTGAAAGCTTCTTCTTTCATCACGTTCACTGTACGAATGAAATAAGTTAGTCATTACTGGTACGTGGTAGTTGAAATTACATTTACAGTAGAAAAGTGACTTATTTGAATGAGTAACCCATAATGATGGAATCGATTATCAATTGATATGAATTGACGCCTAATAACAGGTGATGTTGATAGTTGCAACGGTCTCTTCGCTCTATGATCAGAACTTGCAGTCCTTGGCTATAAACTCACCTATTGATTGGCAAATTTTCAGTACGTAGATTGTACGATAGTAGTTTCGCATGAATATATGCGAAATAGGTATATTGGTGTAGCGAAAATGTAACTTCGTTCATTGTACATTTAATAAATTTCCACTCCCTCATGGATTTCCGATCGTCTCATAGCCAAATCAAAATTGAAACTGCCGTCGAGGAATAGCTTATCAATTTATTCTGATAATTCCTGTGCAAATTGTTTGTTAAAAGCTCCTCCGTTCCCCACGTTCACTGTACGAATGAAACAAATGAGTTATTACTGCCAATAGGCATGCGATATGTGGTAGTTGAAATTCCATTTACAGTCCAAAAGTGAGTCATTTGAATGAGAGCAGGAATTGATGGCGGAATCAATTCTCAATTGATATCAATTGACAGTATATTAACTGAAGAATTTGATTATTTAAAAGAGAAAATATCAAAATTGAAACTTCTATCAAGACAATGCTTGATAATATTTTCGGAAAATTCCTGTACACATTCATTACTGAAAGCTTCTTCTTTCATCACGTTCACTGTACGAATGAAATAAGTTAGTCATTACTGGTACGTGGTAGTTGAAATTACATTTACAGTAGAAAAGTGACTTATTTGAATGAGTAACCCATAATGATCGAATCGATTATCAATTGATATGAATTGACGCCTAATAACAGATGATGTTGATAGTTGCAACGGTCTCTTCGCTCTATGTTCAGAACTTTCAGTCATCGGCTATAAACTCATCTATTGATTGGAAAATTTTCAGTACGTAGATTGTACGATAGTAGTTTCGCATGAGCATATGCGAAATAGGTATATTGGTGTAGCGAAAACGTAACTTGGTACATTGTACATTTCAAAAATTTCCACTCCCTCATGGATTTTTGATTGTCTCATAGCCAAATCAAAATTGAAACTGCCGTCGAGGAATAGCTTATCAACTTATTCTGATAATTCCTATTCAAATTGTTTGTTAAAAGCTCCTCCATTCCCCACGTTCACTGTACGAATTAAATAAATGAGTTATTCCTGCCTATAAGCATGCGATATGTGGTAGTTGAAATTCAATTTACAGTCCAAAAGTGAGTCATTTGAATGAGAGCCGGAATTGATGGCGGAATCAATTTTCAATTGATATTCATTGACAGTATAATAACTGAAGAATTTGATTATTTAAAAGATAAAATATCAATATTAAAACTTCTATCATGATAATGCTTATTAATATTTTCGGAAAATTCCTGTACACATTCATTACTGAAAGCTTCTTCTTTCATCACGTTCACTGTACGAATGAAATAAGTTAGTCATTACTGGTACGTGGTAGTTGAAATTACATTTACAGTAGAAAAGTGACTTATTTAAATGAGTAACCCATAATGATCGAATCGATTTTCAATTGATATGAATTGACGCCTAATAAGAGGTGATGTTGATAGTTGCAACGGTCTCTTCGCTCTATGATCAGAACTTTCAGTCATTGGCTATAAACTCACCTATTGGTTGGCAAATTTTCAGTACGTAGATTGTACTACAATTGTTTCGCATGAGCATATGCGAAATATCTATAATGGTGTAGCGAAAACGTAAGTTGGTACATTGTACATTTAATAAATTTCCACTCCCTCATGGATTTCCCATTGTTTCATAACCAAATCAAAATTGAAACTGCCGTCGAGGAATAGCTTATCAACTTATTCTGATAATTCCTGTGCAAATTGTTTGTTAAAAGCTCCTCCATTCCCCACGTTCACTGTACGAATTAAACAAATGAATTATTCCTGCCTATAAGCATGCGATATGTGGTAGTTGAAATTCCATTTACAGTCCAAAAGTGAGTCATTTGAATGAGAGCCGGAATTGATGGCGGAATCAATTTTCAATTGATATTAATTGACAGCATAATAACTGAAGAATTTGATTATTTAAAAGAGAAAATATCAAAATTGAAACTTCTATCAAGACAATGCTTATTAATATTTTCGGAAAACTCCTGTACACATTCATTACTAAAAGCTTCTTCTTTCATCACGTTCACTGTACGAATGAAATAAGTTAGTCATTACTGGTACGTGGTAGTTGAAATTACATTTACAGTAGAAAAGTGACTTATTTGAATGAGTAATCCATAATGATCGAATCGATTTTCAATTGATATGAATTGACGCCATAAGAACTGGTGGTGTTGCTAGTTGCAACGGTCTCTTCGCTCTACGTTCAGAACTTTTAGTCCTTGGATAGAAACTCACCTATTGGTTGGCAATTCTTTAGTACTTTGATTCTACGACAGTAGTTTCGCATGAGCATATGCGAAATAGGTATATTGGCGTAGCGAATATATTACTTGGTATATTGTATATTTAATAAATTTCCACTCCCTCATGGATTTCCGATCGTCTCATAGCCAAATCAAAATTGAAACTGCCGTCGAGGAATAGCTTATCAATTTATTCTGATAATTCCTGTGCAAATTGTTTGTTAAAAGCTCCTCCGTTCCCCACGTTCACTGTACGAATGAAACAAATGAGTTATTACTGCCAATAGGCATGCGATATGTGGTAGTTGAAATTCCGTTTGAGTAGAAAAGGGAGTGCTTATACGTCTATCTCGGGAAAACAACGAATTGGTGGTAATATTTCTACTATAGTTAAAAATGAAAAGGAAAGTTTCCTTTTTTGAAGCATAATCATTGTTTTTCACGTTTTATATTCAATAATGTCGAAATCATGCAACGCTAGACTGTCGCTTTATTTTTTTTTTATATAGCCTATTCCGTAGGATGAGTTACTAATGTTTCATTTTATTCTGATAGCTGCAATTTAAACATAAACTTTAATTCCTGCTGTTAGACTACTTAGGCTATTCAATAAAGTTATTCGTATATATGTCTATATTTTTATTTTATGTTACAGCTAGAAAATTAGTCATTTGGAGTGACGAAGAAAAGGCCGCTGTAAAAAATTTTATAGAGGTGCATGGGAAACCGAAGAAAGCTAGCACAGATTTTATTCAAAAATTGAAAGATTCTCATAAAGATCTTTTAGCAGATCGTAGTATTAAAATAATCAGAGCTCATCTCCATAACTTTGGTTATTTACAAAAATAAGAAATATTCATATTTATTTTATATATAATCGTTTATAACTTTTTATACTAGTATAATTAATATATTATTTTGTATTGGCTCAAAATAAAATAACATTATTAAGTACAATTTTATATTTACATATGTAGTTTTTTTTATCGTTTAGGGATCATAATAACATCTTTTTAAATTTGATTTTTTGTACTTATATAATGAATACGAATGTTGAATTTATTTTGATATAGTGCTATAACTTGCTTCTTTTTCTACAGATGTTCATCCAAATACTATAATTATATTGATAGTTACTATTAAAACGTGATTGATATAGTCTCTACTGATACCTATATAGTTACTGATATTTCCATATATTTTGTTAGTGTTTTTAATCAATTCTGTACTATGTGAATATATAATATATTCGTTTCTATTTGAATAAATTTAAAGTATGGATCATTTATCCAAAAGTTCAGTTACATGTGCATAATGAACCTAATCAAAAACTGTTAATTGTATCGCGATTGCCGTGTCTCCTAATCTTCCTTAGAGTTTCGGCCGTGTTATTAATTAATTTAAAATTTCAAAATGGTGACTCGAGGTGAACAGAGCTACCTATCCGCGCAGATTTCGATCCCCATTTATTATTTTATAATTTGATCAGCGAACGCAAGCATCTACGGGAAGGTTATTGAAATAATTTTGTACTTTGTTTCTTTTATTTACATTAGTACCTGCCTTTATTATCCACTATCGTCTGCGCTACGCGTTTGGCAACAGCTTGGTACATAAATACATTTGTTTACAGTATTCCGTACACATCGTTACAAGTTTCCGATCTGACGCTTGCAAGTACGTCGCGATAGCCGTAGAGAGAAAAGGGCGTTAGATACGCTCAACGACACTCCACGGATGACATACCGTGATTCTTTCACAACACAAGGGGATAACAACGCAACCGCGCTTCGAGATATCCCCCTGATTCTCGGAACGGATAACGTCTTTGCGCAATTTCGGGCTCCATCAAGCCCGACGACGCGGATGTATCGCGAGAACGAAAAGGGATGTTGATGTCGGCCAGTCGACACCTCTTCTCCCGTAGATGGTTGGGAATTCAGCGGATTTTGTCTCGGATCTCTCCTTCAAGGCCCTCCTTTCCTTTTTCCTTCGCAGTGCTGGCCGATCTCGAGTGCGCGTGTTTCACACGTGTCGCACACGACTGCCCACTTTTACTCAAGATTCCTCGGCCGGCACAACGCCCCACGGCCCCTACCCCGCACCGCTCTCACCCGCGCACTTTCGCACACGCTTTCCCGCCGCGTCGCTCTCGCTCTCGCTCCTCTCTAATCGGTTCTCGCCGTCACCTCTAAAAGCAGAAATACGAACCGATTAGCCTCGACTCTAATCTAATATTTGACTGCATTGGCGGATCGTTTGAGCGACAAACACGGCGCGGAACAACAACGTCCAGCGCCCATGTTACATAATTAAGAATGATGAAATCTTTAAGGTACTTTGAATATAAGAGAGATTTAAATGAATTTGTAATTAAAATGAATTTATTTACAACAATGAGTTTTTACAGGTAATGTCACGATGTCACAAAACATGAGTTTCAGGATTATGTGAGCGTCAGGAAACAGACGTATACAGATAAGAATAATTCATACATGAGGATTTTGACATTGTATTTTATTTATTTTTTAAATGATTTGTTTATAGACAGTTTATATTTCAATATAATTAAAGCTCTTAAGAATTCATAGAAAGGGTATAATTATTTAACGTAAGCGTTTTCAATGTAAAAAATACAAAAACAATAGTTTCCAATGCTTTTGAATTCAAAATAAAACTTAGAGTGCGCGAAGCGCGCTGTCTAATTCTAGTGTATAAAAATAGACATGATTGAACTCTTATCAAAGCTAGTCTATATGTCGATTACTGTCAAGGCGCAAAAGTTATAACAGATTTTAGGCTCCTTACTTTTTACAAGATTTATTCATAAACATAAATAAAATGCTTATTCAAATAATATTCATTGAGTTTCTCCACTTTTTCTCTGTTTCTCGATCAATTGATTTGTAACTGAAAAATTAATTATATTAATTAGTAATAATAATAATTAATAATGACATGATAATATAAAATAAATAAATAATATAATAGAATGATAAAGCATGGAATGATAAAACTACATATCGAAAGTAATCGAATTTTTTGGAAATTAAAAAGAGATTAAATATTTTATATGTATGCAAGCACATAGTCTGTATAGTTATACGACAAAAAAATTTAGTTTACGTAGAGTCTTACCTTTATAAAATCTATTTTCAATGTCTTCAAAACGGCAATGTTCGAGAGCGGAATATACAAAACTTTCGTAATGGCTACCAAAGAAATTTTTCAAAGAGATCACTTTTTTTTTTATTATGTACCTATATGGTTTATTAATATCTAATAGAGAAATGAGATAGGTTTTCACTTCTCCATACATTGTTTTTACGATATTTTCTTTCACCTTTTTAGATGTTTGCATACTACTGCAGCTCATGTATACATTTAAATCATAATTTCGATCAGTAGTAAAATAAAAAATAATTAGCTTTCTTAACATGATGATCTGTTCATTGTCATCTGAAATATTGAACAAAATATTTATATAAATATATATATACATTAATACTTATATTATACGTTTTCTCGTAACAAAAAATTATAGAAATTTACCATCATACTTGAGACCTACAAGAAGAGCTTTATTTATCTCCACTTCTACTTGATCTGAAAGCATTGATTGGTTTAATACAACTTGAATGAAATCCAAACTTCATGAAAAAATTCATTAATAATTTTTCTAGTCATAAGTACTGTAAATATACTTTATTAGATATCATTTGAGGCAGTTATATAATATAATAAGATAAATATATTTAGTTTATGTAATTTTGTTGTTATCATTATAAGAGTACATCACATCAGTATAGAAGAAATGTAATGTATAAATAAGAAAACATTAATAATTAATCATCAGTAGTCGATATTAATTCTTAAGAAGCGATGAAATTAAGTGCATTTTTTGGAAACGAAGTTGCACAGTTTATGTTTATGAGAAATGAAGTTATTTATTTGATAAAATTGTGATAAATTCATAATTTTAGGAATGAAAACTGCACAAAAATTAAATTTTTATACATACTTTGAAATAATTGGTATTTTTTTGTTGTCCATGGATTCGGCATTTTGGTTTGTTTTTGATAACTCGTTTTGACACTTTTTTTTGGTTCGAATATATCGACCTGAGCTTTGTGAATAGATGAAAAAGGCAACAATTCACCTATAATTACAAAAAATTATCCATACAGAATGTTAAAATTTTCAGTATAATACACAAATATGAACTCTACTTTTCAAGTAAGATAAGAAAAAACAGGCTGGTAGGTATATTGTACTGCTGTGTAAGAGAGGATAGAGATAAATATAATAAATATACTACTGTTCTTTCAACAAGCTATATAATGTTACTCTTTGACATATTACTTTAGCGTGTCATTTTTATTTACGTCAGAAAAACATCTTACAAATTGGAATGTAAAAATCACGAAAACGAACAATCTAAAATTATTTATTTAAAAATAACTTTATCAAAACTACATCAATCAAATTAAATTGTTTTTCGAGTGATAAAATGATAAGCAATCTATATTTTGAGTTTAACTTATAAAAATATTGACATCAAATACGTGGAAACAAGAAAAAAGTCAATGAATTTCGGTGAAGCACGGAACTGTCATCTTACAGCATAGAGTAGCACATGCAACCACAACTTCGTGGCTACTGTTTACCTACTCACCTGCTGTTCGCGATCAAAACTCTGAATGATGGACACTGTGACATAATTATTTTCTTGGAAAAATGTTTAATAAAAATAAATCTAAATGAATATAAAAATCATTTCAGATCACTTACAACTTGATTCACAGTTCTGTGTTATCGTGGTAGAAGTAATCTCATTAGATATTTCAATTTCCAATGATGTTGAGATTGATTTACTTTTCCATGCATTGATTTCATCTTCGGTGAGACGTATTAGTAGAATATTCACTTCTTTTAAAGATGAAAGTTGATTTGAATCTATTGTAAACTCTGCAACAAAAAATATAAAAAATTACGCAGAGAAAATCTTTCAATAGTTTTCTATTAATTTTAGTTACTGAACAATTGCTTTCTTATACCTTGGCGGCAAAATACACTTCATTATGTACATAATACATATAAGATTGTATCATAGATCAGCCTAGTACGTACTTTTAGACAAAATAATGAAAAAACATTACCATCTCAACTGCCAATGTATTTTCTTAAATGTATAAGAGGTTGTGGTTTTTATTTTTAGTTATGTAATGTAATAATTGGGAATTATTTTTTTACTTGGAAATTCTAATAGGTTTTAGATAAAATGAAAAACTACGATATAAAAAAGAAAGATGTTCTTTCATAGAATTTCTGAAAAAATAATCACTAAATACACTAACAATAATAATAACTAAATGAAAATTTCTATGCAAATCAATTGGCAACATTTTTTTTATACATTGATTATGTACAAAGGCAAAAATCTAATAAAAAAAAGCTATATTTAAGCAAAGTTCTAAATATTTTTCTGTTCACACATACACACGCATACAATGAATGAAGAAATATATCATTAAATATGGAAATCAAAATATAACAAAAAATCATAATTGAAATGTGCAATATTAAAATTTTAAAATATAATAAAATTTGTAACAAGTAAAAGAAGTTAAAAAGGTACAAATAGATATTCGCGAAAAATAACTCTGAAATTCATTCTATTCCTTTGATTAATACGAAGATGAAAGAGACATATTAGGTTGAAAAAAGTCACGATAAAAATAAAATAATATACAATTCATCAAAAGGCAAAAAGAAGTTTAAAAAATCAATTTATTGTCAGAAAAGTAACTAACGATGTGAACAATTTATTAAGAAAATTTTCCCTCTTTTCTTTCAGCAAGTTTTAATGAACTCAAATAGTTACTGAAATCCATCACGTAACAAAATCAGACAACAGATATTAACGTATAGGAATCACACATATTCAAATTTGGTAGCTATAATGATAAAAACAAAAATAAAAGTCAGTACCAATAAATAAAAAAACAAACTAAAACAAAGCTTCCTTCCCAAGGGAGAAAAAGTAGAATCGATATTATATATATAACTATTCAAATCTCTACTCTCATCTCGTAATACCAAATAATAAGATAATAAAACGATAGTAACATAACTGACGTAATTCTTACTGAAATAACTCAATAACCGCCTTGCACAACTACTCATACCTATATATGCCTAATGCAATCGTAAATATTATCATGAAAATTATTTTTATTTATGTATAATATCAACTTTTCGTGTTACGAATGCTTTCCGCCAAGGATAAGAAAAATGTATCTAAGCAATTGAAAAAATGAACATATTATTTAATAGGGTTGCTAAGTCTAATGTCATTAACACAATCAAGAATAGTTTCAATTAAGACATTCAACTTCTGTATTGATTTTATTTAATGTATTACTGAACTTGGAATTTAAAACATATAAAGATAATGAACACAAAACGTAACTAATACAATCAAAACATATATTCATTTCACTTTTTACATTATTATTAGCTTTAATTTCGACAAAAAATAAGTTTCAAAAATTATGACCAGTCAGAGAAATATACCTGCATTTAATAGTGTCTGGCAAACTCGTTGTAAATGTATTTTGTACATACGAAACTCATTATAAATTTTTTGGTAATCAGCTTTTAGAATCATTGTAGGATCTATTTGTAATACTTTTGCTAAAATATTTCTTCTCTGAATCAAAGGCATCATTTTTTCTTCGTACAGGCATTCAGCTAACTCGATAGGATATAAATTTATCGATGCATATGCAATTTGACTGTGATAATTTTGAAGAGTAATATCACCGGGAGCAAATATGACTATATTTTGATTTTTTATTGTTCCTGGAAAAAAATGAAGTTTAAGAAGTACATAAAAACACATATTAAGATCTGATATTAATCCAACTTAATGGATTTAGTTGATCCTAGTACAGAGCTTAAGCATACAAGTAATTTATTTTATATTTAATTTTTTTCTTAATTGATATAAACTTTTTTCTTAAATAATTGCCAAATATTGAATAAATATTGAACAAATATTTATCAAATTAAACTTGGGAGCATTTTTTATTAGTATCTAGTCAAATAGTATAATACTTTAGGAATATAAAATCTCACGTCGTTTAGCAACAATTCAACAACAAAAGTGGAAATTGTTTATAACTTTTGTTTAATAAATTTCATTAAGGGAGCAACTATTTTTTGGGACGGAGCATTTCGGGAGCAATTTTTTGAGATATCATACGCCTTTCTAGGTCGATTAATAAAAAAGTTGGATTGAGATATTATATAGGTTTAGAGTCATTGAAGAATACTAGTCGTGAAAAAAAATGTTAAATAAATGAATTTTGTAGCAAGGATTTTCATTAATATTTTTCCTAATTATAAACAAGCAAATTCATGGATGGGATTTTCAAAATGAGCATTTTCAATGCTATCAATTGCTATATATTTTAGTTTTACACATTTTTAAGAAATATTTTGGTTATTAGGTTCATAATTGCTATGATATGTTGTTCATTCATACTGTTTATAGATATATATACTGTCTTTAAATGTAGCCTAATAGATATTGCTTTTTTTATCTGTATTTTTATAGCATGGATAAGTAAATAAGTAAATAAGTAAAATAAGTATAAAGTATAATTACTAGCATAATTTTGCATACACGAATTTATGATTACAAATTCATTTTCATTTAAAGACAAAAAGGAAACAATTATTTAAAAAAGATCTGCTCATCCAATCGAATAACCAACTGATAGACAAGTACAATTGTTCACATACCATTAATATATCAATATTTTTAAAATTTTAAAGTACTCTATAATTTGCATTAAAAAAAGGACAAAATTCTTTATGTATTATTTTTTGTTTTAGGGAGATGAAAACAAAATAAATCGTGGCAGAAAAGAATATAAAATATTATGATAAATATATCATTACTAGTGACATTTTAATTAATAATTAAAGAAAATCTTTATAAAAAGAACAGGTCAGCATATCAATTATTTCAATGTAATACGTACACTGCACTATCTGTTTTAGAATATATAAACTAATTAAAATCACTATTGTAATCCATCGAACAAAAATATATAAAAATGCTAGGTGAGCAACTACTTTAATATAATATCTACTTTATCTGAGTATTTGTGATCAAGTATTGAGTGATCTATAGCTGACTCTATAATTAATTTTATTTCATAAAATAAAAAAAATGAAAATTAGAGGAATAATCCTTACATCATATTATTATTTTGTTTTCAGTTAATCAGCTCAAATCAGTTTGAAAATTATACTAAATCATAGCTTAATTCAAGATAATAATTTAGTCTAGAATATTTTACAGTTTATATTTGTGGAGAATTGAATACTTTAAGTGCAAAGTATACAATAATTTTATACAAAATAAAATATAAAAATGAAAGTAATTAAAAAGAGTAATTCCATATTAAGAAGGCTATAACTGGAAAAAATAATTTTACTTTTTGAATGTTATGACTGCTTAACTTCTAAAACAAAGTATCATGCATGAAATTTATCGATAAAATTTATTGTATAAAAAATTAGTATTATAAAAATATTTACCTTGAACATCCTTGATAATTGTATTGTTATATTTTTTAATAAAATGTTTTAAAGCCTTATAAGTTGAGCAATGCTTATTTTTATATACATGACTTGCAATCTCCAGTATTTGTTCATCTTCTAGAACTAATATATCTGATTTTATCAATTTTTTAGTACTAATATAATACACTAATTTTCTATAAAGATTGGTATCATATTTAAGGCCTTTCTTTATTTGTCCATTAGCTTTTCTCTGATTTTTTAGTTCATCATAGTTTATCTGCTGACTGATATATTTGTCAACTTTGTCCTTATATTTGTTTAACTGTAGAGAAAATATCTCTGCCTCTGTAAATGTTTGTTTGATCTAAAATGTAAATGTCATATAGTATCTATAAAGTTGTATTAAAATTAGTATGTTTTTATTTATAATTTCTATAACATATATATTATAGAAATTATTAAAATGAATTTTAATTTTAAAAGTAATAAATAATATTACCTGAGAATCTGATATTTTTTTATCAATACGAAAAGCACCTTGCAAATTTTTTTTACACGACTGACACTGACAACGTTCATTATTATCACCAAAATATTCTTTTTCATAAAAGCATGTTAATTCTTCACCAGCTTTAATAGATTGTTTTGTTTCTACAAAAACAGATCCATTATAATTTATATATCTACAATTGGCATTGCAGTCATGGTTGATAAGTGATATGGGTCCTAGAAGGAGATATGTAGTTTTTTTGCGTAAGCTGTACATAAGAGAAAAGTCCATCTGGTTTTTAGCTAAATGCTCAATCTGTTCTTTAGTAAGCCATGCACAGAAACCAATAACACTATCAATTCTTGTCTTCTTAGGAATATCTTTCTTTGCCACAATTTTGATTTGTCTTTGAGGAGTATTATATATTGTAGTTTCTTCAACACTAACAATAGAACTGTTATTGATCAAATTTAAATAAATTTCGATATATTCAAACAGTTTTTTGTCATCATCCACAATACACAAAATTTTCTCTTGATTTATGTAACTAGTTAATTCAGAAAAAATACTAGAATAATTTTTCAAATGCACTGACTTATTGACAATATCATTCAAAGTAATAAAACTTGAATTGTTTAAACCAATCAAGTAATCCATTGGGTCTAATAAATTTATTTGCATGCAAGGAAACTTTAAATAGTTATCTAAAATTAATTTTTTAGCTATACTATCAAAAACTGATAATACAGAGCTATCAAATTTGTTGAAACTCTTTTTCATATTTAAGATGATATTATAATCATAAATTGATTATTTAAATATAATTAATAAGAATATTAGTATATAATATATAACTATATATCCACAAGTATGAATCAATCAGAGAACATTACTTTTTATTTTAAAATATATAGATACTTATAATTGTATAGACATATGTCATAATATCAAACTTATATAGACTATTGACTTATAATATATGTATATAATATAATAGAGAGTCTATATCATGTTCATGGCAATAATATTTAAATAATATAGTTTCAACAGCACTTATGTAGACAGTCTACATAATTTTGACATCACTTATGCAGACAGTCTACATAATTTTAACATCACTTATGCAGACAGTCTACATAATTTTAACATCACTTATGCAGACAGTCTACATAATTTTAACATCACTTATGCAGACAGTCTACATAATGTTCATCGCACTTATGTGGCCGTGTCTTCATAAGTGATCGCGCGTAGATAATTTGCAAAACGATGAATTTCTCAGTTTATTGTAGATATAAACGTATTTTTCTTTGATATACGGTTACAACAAATATATTTCTAACCGTTTATTAATCTAATTATTCAATTTTTTAGTGTCCACATAAGTAATGATTTATATATATATATATATATATATATATATATATATATATATATATATATATATATATAATATTGATAAAAATATTATTCCATTTTTTTCAATCGTCTTTTCTCTTTCCTTTCTTCCCATCTCTTATATACTGCTCCATTTTTCCTTTTTTCCCTTTTCTCCTTTTATTTTCCTTTTCCTTCTACCTTTCCAAGCCCGTCATTGCTACGTGATAATGGCTTAAGTTACGCGGTAACCTGACAGCAGATAAAGCCAATCAAACAAGAAAAGCAGACGATCAAAATCTAAGTGAATACACTGCTATTACACGCGCTAAAAACTTATAATAGTAATGTTTTTTTCAGTTCTTATGTTTTTGTTCATTCCAAATTTTTTAATTGAATTTGATATATAAATGAGTGCTGCTTTTAACCCATGTAAAGTAGTTTATACTAATTGATTTTTATATAGTTATATACGAAGGCTCCTTCCTCTCAAGAGAGGAAAACTGCAGTATCTTTGTGTAAGTATTTTTGTGGTTAGAGTTAGCAATTGACAAATCTTTGATTGTTAGTCTATAATGTAATTCATCTTTGATTTTAATAAGTCATTTAATTTTTTACAGGGTTTAGATGTATTAATTTAGTTAAACGGCTTCATGTATCTTTAGAAACGTTGTTACACACAATTACTATTATGACTAGAAATAAAACAGATTCTAATAGAAGACAAGGATTAGCTTGGGAAAATAATTTGTATTTCAAACTCCTTACAATTATTGATCAGGAGAATGTGTCAGTAGACGCCAACACTCATTGTATTTCTAGTGAGCTATTAATCAAATGGAGCGAAGCAGTTTTTCCTATTTATGGAAAAAGAAAAGCCTATCAAGATAAGGTCAAATTATTTTTAGAATACTATTTTGAAGCTGTTGCAGCAGATATTCCAAGTGAGCTTTTATCTTTGTAATTGATTACATTTTTTCCACAATATTGAAGCCTAAATAATTAATCATAATTTTTTTTTAAGAGTTAAAAAATCAAGCCAATTTAGTTAATGCGCCTGCACTACAAAGCTGGTTGGATTACAAAGAGAGCCTGGGGAAATGTCTCTGTTTACCAAGTATAAGGCAGTGCGTTGAAAGGTTTATGCAAAATCCTGACGACAAACTTTCTGCAACTGTGAAAAAATACATTTTACATCAAATGTACGGATTGAGAGAAAATGATACCATAGAGGAATGGCAAATGAAAAAATTAAATAACTGCTTGTGGTTTAACAGAAATGAAATTGAAAGAGTCTGCATTCTGTCTGTAACACACGAGATACCGTTGTAAATATTATAATTCCGAGAAAACGTGAAATCTCAGTTAACAAAATAGTATTAATAGTAATTTAACTCAAGAGCTTTTCAATTAGATTTTTTGCCGTTTTTTATTTATATCGGTGAATTAAACGAGTGCAGTTGATTTTTGTAAACGTGTTAAGTGCATGCTGGGATGCAGTGTTCTATTTGATTTTGTGTCTGGCTGTATTTAATATTATGGAACCGGCAGTTCCATGGAAAGATTTATTGGAAGTTTTGAAAGTGGTTGACGTTTTTAACGAAAAAGGAGAATTGTTAAAAGAGAATGATGAGAGTGGAGTGTGGCAAAAAGTTTCAGATAAAATAGGCTTAAAAAAAACAGCTCATACGATATACATTGATGTGCAACAAAATAAGCATAATTTAAAAGATGATTTGAAAGCTCAGGGCAATATTAAAGTAGTAAATCAATCTTACAATTATGTACTGCCCAAAGATGATTTTTCTGAAAGCGAAAAAAGTGAAACTGATGACTTAATGATGGATGAGGAGTATATACCAAGAAAAATTTCCAATTCTGGTAAATTCCAACCAGTAAATATGAAAATACATTTGGATAAAAAAGAGTGGGCACAAATAAAGCCAGACAGAGTTTTTTACAAAGATGGTAGAGAATATCTAGTCTTGAAGAAAGATTGGACGGATATGGTAGTTGAAAAAGTGTGTAATGATACAAAAATTAATTGTAATTATGCTTTTACAAAACATCAATTTTATGTTGGAAATGATTTTCCTTTTTTCAAATTTTATGGCAAGTGTACGGAATGTTTCAACGATATTGAAGGAGAATGTGCTCGTACTTTTTCTCTTGACAGTGAAAGTATTTCTATCGATATTCATACCTTTGACAGTACAACAATTGCTCACAAAAGGAAACGCCAACTCAAGAACACGCGAAGGAAAAAAGCTAAACTAAAAGCACGATATGTAAAAGCTGGTGTTTTTCGTCTTGAGGCTGCGAATGATTTATTGGAATATTCTGATTTAAAACCAGCTTACTTGAATAATTCAGTTACGATCAGAAAATTGAGACAGGAAGCAATTGATGAAGCTTTAAAACTAACTGGTCCTAGTGCAGTCTTTGATTCTCTCTTGTATTTGAGTGAAAATGGGTTTTCCAAAATCAGACAAGTTAGTAAGAAACCATTTGTCGTGAATTTTGTTACTGATGATCAAATACAATTATGGAAAGATCTAAAAAAAGTTAAGAAGCTTAGGGTGTCAATCGATGCATCTGGTGGATATGCCAAAAAAGTAATTGTAGCATCAGATGAAACATCTGGTTACATATTTCTCTACAGGATGGTTACAGATCACGAATCCAAAGTTGCACCACTGTGGCAGATGTTGAGCGATGCACATGACACCAATACGATCCAATATGCTCTGAGTCTACCTATCTCTCTTGGTGCTCCTTTGCCAGATGAAGCTTCAACAGATGGTTCTCTAGCTATGTTGAATGGTACAAGCATGGCGTTCAACGATTGCCCGTACAAAAATTATTTAGATACTAGCCACAAAATTTTAATGGGCGAAAGCTTGAAACGAAAACCATGTCGTTTAACAATGGACTAAATTGTCGACTGAATCTGACAAGATTGTAGCACAAGTACAAATGCCAATAAAAATGGAAACAATTGAAACTGATAAAAATTCGGTAAATAATGTAAGGCAATTGAAAGAACTCTCTTTTCTTATTTTAAATGGAATAATTAATGATACGGTTTTATATGATAACAAAAAAAGGAAATTCATAAATATATGTGCCTTCGACAGTGTTTCAGAAGTTTTGATTTGTTCTGCAAGTATCGATAGTGTATATAAGATCTTATCTGAAGGGGAATCATGTGAATATTTAGAAGCTCTTACAAGTTTTAATAAAGATGTTTCTCTGCTGAATGATTTTTATGAAAATAGAGCAAATATATTGTACCCAAGCGTGATCAATTCAATCTATAATCGAAACAACCCTAATTTACATAATTTTGATGGAAGTATAATTGACTGTCAGATTAATGTCATAGATTTGGTTCAGATTCTACTTAAAAACAGTGAAACTTCTTTGATAACATCTACGAAACAATGTGACGAATGTGGATATCGAAATACACCGAAAAACTTTAATACATTAGTGTTCCCTTTTAGAGAGGCTGCAAAAATTATAAATAGGAAAGACGGAATGCAAAATCTGCAAGAATGTTTGAATGATATTTTTGATGAACCGGAGTTAGATGCCTGTCCAAAATGTCAGAAAATTACAAAAAAATTAATCTACGATATTGGAGACATTCTGTTTCTCGAAACCGAATTTATTTTCACTAGCTCAGAATTACACCACACTATCAACAGTTCATGCCCTGAAACCATTTTGATACGTCGTAGTAGATATAAATTAATAGGTGTCGTAGAAATCGAAGAAATCAACAAAGATTTGAACCATTATAGGGCCTACTGCCTGGTAAACAATAGATGGATCAGAAAAGATGATTTATCTACATCAGCGAAATACATTGTTCATCTACCTGACAACATCAAACTATCAATGGTTGTGTACGCAAAGGTGAACGCGTAGGTGTACGAAAAATCAATTGAAAAAGTATATGAGTAGCGATTCTTGAATGAAATTTGTCTTACATAATTCATTTCATACTGGTTTCTTTTTTCAGGTATCAAGTAGTGGCTGATGAGTTGATCCATTCAATTTCCATTTGCAGCAACTGGGGAGAATAACTACGATGCAGAAACTCTTAGATTCTGAAAATTGAGACACATATATTGGTATAAATAAATCAGTATCCTTATCCAAATGCAAATTTCGAAAATAGTTATAAGCAACTTCATTACTATTAATTATCTTGTTAATGTAGCTACATGTACGCTAAGTAAATTAAATAAAAATCTATCAATACTCGAGCGGCTCTATGGAAATTCTGTTTTTTCTTGGATTTGGTGCAGCAAATGTGATTGTCCTGGAATCATTGCTTCATTGTTGGGTACACTGATTGACTAAGGCTGGATGTCCGGGCCTAGTGGAATCTTCTTGAACTGTTGATTAAAAACATGATGTAAAAAATTCAGTATTCATTCCTAGGTATGAGTTGCAACTATAGTTATCAGAAACCTTGAGTTGGTAGTGAAAATATTAATATTCTTGGTTATAAATCACACGTATCATTTCTTTTTTTTTTTCATTTCTAAAAATATCAAACACTCTCATGTGAATATAATGTTTATCTGGATACTAAGCATTAATACAATACTAATGTTGTGTAAAAATTACATTTATACGCAAGTAAAGTCATTACAGGCATGCTCTGAGTACATGAAGTAGTTTCAAAATAGCTTGCTGGCGCAATTTCAATGTACTTTTTTCAGTGTACAGTTAATGATTAATTGATTGATAAGTTATTAAATTAAAAAGAATACATACTCTAAAAGATTCTTCTGGCAAATTTACAACAGCCATCAGCGTATTGTCTCCCTGACACTCCTAGCAAATTAAATTAGAGCAGTTGCAGTTGCAATAACAGCTGTACTGACAGTCAGCGCCGCTCGCTGGTAGTTAGAACGACGTTGTGCGCATGTGCCGCGCGCAATGATTATTGATCAAATGCCAATTATATTTTTTATCGTTCCTTCCGCACCCTTTGATTTTTTTTCAATTAGGACCACATATTCTTGATGCACAAATTACGCGCAACTCAATGGAGTCGTCAGAATTCGGAAATTTTCAGTATTTCCACGAGAAAATCGCAATCGAAGTTTAGCCAGCACCCGACTTTAATTAATTAATACTGGCGTAATTAAAAGTTGCACAAATTATTTGATCACGGGTTCTGAACGCGCAGCTTCTACACAAATTGATGAATATTTTCTAAAAATTTTCATCCATACTCGGGTGTCCACTTCACAGACCTTAAAAACTACCATCTAATATGATATGAAAAATAGCGTCGCTGTCAAATATTTCCGGTACGATACAGGCTTGATTTGACTGCGCCTGCGCAATACGAGTGTCGTATAAATGGTATAGCTATTTAATAATTGTTACAAGAAAAATTGATGAATTGTCATTTCAATTGGCTGGGAAAATTTAATCATCTCAAGGGCAATTTTTTGCATTTACAGAAATTAAGAAGTATTACTTAATTATCGAGATATTGACGCTTGAAGTTTGCAGAGATACCGGATGTAATTATCAATTTTTGTAAATAAAGTGAAAGTGAGCAAATAAAAAAAATAACGCAGTTGAATTGGGCAATTAAAAATCTATAGGCTTATATGTCTAAATAATTTTTTTTTTTTTGCATTAATTTGCAGACTGGACCGGGGGAGGTCAAAAAACGTTCTCTCGGTTTTACAATTTTCAGGTTTGAACACATAAGTTACATGAGTGAACCAAATTGAAAATTATAAGACTTAAAATAAGTTCTGTCTTCGCCCTAATAATGATAGTGCTTTACTAATGACTTAAAATTAAGTTTTGCCTGTTCAACTGCTACGCATGCGCAATAAACGTGATAAAAATTACCATCCAATATGATATGAAAAATAGCTGCGTTGTTAAATATTTCCGGTACGAGGCTTTATTTGATTGCGCCTGCGCAATTCGTGAATACTCCTCCAAAATAAAGGTTGTTGTAAGAATTTTCGCCAGCGATCTACTGTCTGCAGCACCCATCGTTGCATATGGTACGGTAAGCTGCGCCGGCGCAGTGTCTCATGTGCGCAGGCAAATCGTTTATAACAGCGTTAACATTTATTTGAATTTCAATCGCTTTCTAATCACCTAAGTGTGGATTTTATTATGGGTGACAATAGTTCGTGGT